TTCAGTATCACAACTGAGGTTATTTAACAAAATAGATGCAGAAGGCTTCCTTCCAGTCATAGTTGTTGGCCTTCAGTGATGAGCACAGGTTCTTACCATCCCTTCGTCTGTGTTGACTCAACTTGAAATTTTCGGTTCTTCATGATTTTAATGCTGTCATAAAAAACTTCCTGGAACCATTTGGAATGTGAGAGAGGTTTTCAGATACAAGAAGTCCCTGGGAAAATGTGATTCTCTACCACACGGTGCTACCGTGTTTTTATACTAAAATAAATAAAAACACTTTGGAGAAGTCTGTTTTATTTATTGCATATACTGAACTTCAGGCAGTTAAGAAAAACAACACAGAAATGAAGAGCTTGAAATGCTTTTAAACAGCTGGAATTCCAGCTGCTAGTGCAATAAGAGAGAACTTATGCAAGACCATATAATAGAATATCAGTGTGCACACAGATAAATAACGCAATGAGGGCATGCATGTTTTATGTTGTTCCAAAGGCTCCTTAAAATTATAAAAAATTCCCTAATAATCCAAACTCTTCAATTCTGTTTAGAAAATGTTTGAGATCCTTTCTAAGAAGGTTCTGGCTTTAGACCCTGTGTGTTTCCTAGGGCTGCCATGACATATTACTAAAGTGGGTGGCTTAGTACAACAGAAATTTATTCTGTCATAGATCTGGAGGATGTGTGTTCTGAAATCAAGGTGTCAGTAAAGCCATGCGGCCTCTGAAGGCTCTAGGAGAGAATCTGTTCCATGCCTTCCTCTTGGCTTCTGGTGTGGCCCGTAACCCTTGGCATTCCTTGGCTTAAGTCACATCACGCCAGTTGCTACATTGGGAATCACATGGGCTCTCTCTCTGTCCACCTCTTCTTCTCCTCTTGTAGAAACACCAGTCACACTGAATTATGGACCCTCCATATAACCTCATCTTAACTAACCATACCTGCAACGACCCTATTTCCAAAGTAGGCCACATTCTGAGGTTCTGGAAAAGACATGAATTTGGCGGGATACTGTTCAACCCAATAGGAGGCATCTAAAACGAATAGCAACTGGCTTTGGTCTTCAGGAAGGTGTAGTTCCTAATGTATGTGGGGAAATGGCTACAGGAAACTACACTGAGTGGCCAGATTATTATGACTCCCTATCAGTACTTCATTGACACTTCCAAAAATACTGAATATTGAAAACTTCCTAAGAAAATACTCTCAAAGAAAATACTCTCAAGGTTTTAGTATTATTATTATTTGCATAACTAATTCACTTCATTGTACTGATGGGGTGGTCATAATAATCTGGCCAGTCAGTGTATAATGCAAAGCAATGTGTTCAAGTGGTAATGGATACAGATTACCACAGACATTTGGAGGACTGAGTGATTGGTTGGGATTGCAGGTACTCATGGAGGGCTTTAGGGTGGAGGTAGTGGCAGACCTGAAGGACAGATAGTATTGTGGCAGCAGGCCCGAAGGATAACGAGTTACCAGTTGGTAGAAATGGTGAAGCTGGGCATTCTGGGCTGAGGGACCCACTTGAGCAGACTGAGAGATGCAAATGTGCATCTGCTGTGTGGGATGCTCAAGACCACTGGCATGTGTGGCTAGAGAATAGTGTGACCTTTAGGTAGCGGTTGCATGTGCTGTTGTGGCCACTGGGAAGGGATGCAGAAGGGAGAAGGGATGAAGTACAGATGGAGCAGAAGGGAGGTAAGAAAGGTGATGGGAGCCCAGTCGTTCATGTCCATGAATGACTGTCACAGAATGGGATCTTCGAGGTGGCAGTGAAGGGGAGAGTTCAAGGAGAGGTGGGAAGACTATTCTGTAATGGAGCTTGAGGAGACCTTGCTGGACTCAGAGGAGCTGGACTTCTATGTCCCCTCTCAGATCTCAAGTTCTGTGATTCTTAGTAGAAATATCTTTTCACTGATCATATCATGCCTCTCTCACCAGTTATTCTACTTCTGCTTCCTCCCTCCTTTCTTTCTATGGAGCATCTTCCATGGGCCAGGCACTGAAGAGACAATAGTGAGTAAGAAGACAAGGACAGCATCATTATCATCTCTTCCCTGTAGCATTAGCACAGGAGTACAGAGTAGGTTTTCCGTAAATGTCGCTTTGAATTGAGTATGAGTGAGGGAAAATGACAAGGCCGTTTTGCCCTGGGTAGTAAGTTCTGCTATAGAGTGGAGCTGCTTTGAAAGATGACTTCAGGAACCTCCTTATGAGGGGGTGGAAAGTAGGTGGATGCTTACATGTGTTCGATTTCTGAGTCATCAAAAAGGCTCCTTTGCCTCCCAAAATATCTTCTTCATCCAGGCTCTTGGTACTTTTAATTCCATTATTGGAAGTTAGTTTTCCTCTGTTAAAATGCAGTTGCCCTGTGGAGAGATGCTATCCATTTATCCTCATCAATCTCTTGCATCTTAATAGAAGGGATTTTGTTAGTTTTTTCTGCATAGCAGGTTTGAGAAAAGCACATGGAGGGAAAAGGGGACCCAGGGAGGAGGAGTACTGGACATACCAAAGGTAAATTTTGTCAAGGTTGGCAGTTTGAATGAATTGACCTTTAGCTTAGAAAAATCCATTATTATCCATTTGCCGGTATATGTTGGACAGGACATGATTATTTCTGTTACAAAACTGTTTTTATTTGTTTTGTTTTTTTTTTTTAAAATGGCAATAAATCTCATCTCCACCACCCTCAACAAAAATAATGTGTGTGGCAACCTGATCCTATGTTCTTCCTCGACAAGGCTATGCTGCCTATGGTTTGTGTGCTCACAGTCAGAGAAGGCTAATGATATAGATGCTGTAACAAACATCCCCCAAAGTTTCAGTAGCTCATTTTAGAGGATTCTTTTTTCATTTACATAACAATATGACTCAAGTTAATTGGCTGGGAGAGAGAGTTCCACATTGCCTTTTAGGGACCCAGGCTCCTTCCTTGCTATACATTCACCCTCTTCAGTTGTTGGCCTCCAGGTCACACATCCTCTGGAAAGCATGCCGGGGGAAGAGAAAGCACACTGACTTTTAGCTGCCTTGGCCTGGAGGTGGAGGTGACACATATCTCACCTCACATCCTGTTGGTGAGAGCTAGTCCTGAGACCCACCCAGCTGGATAAAGGCTGGGAAATGCAGTTTAATTGTGTGCCCAGAAAGAGGATGTCGTCCTGGTAAGACTCCAAAATCACTTACACATTTTTGTCAGAAATCATTGACACATTAACCTTCTGTCTGTGACATAACCTGAGCTTGGGGCTTGTCCTTAGGGGAACAAGAGAGAAGAGCAATGGCCTGGGATCTGTCCAGTGTTTAGAATAGTGAGAAGCCACTCTCTCTGCTTGGGGAAGTGCAGGTGGACTTTTGCTATGTCAGGGAGACGTCTTAATTCAAAATTCTTATTTTGTTTGCTCATTTGCTTTTTAGTGGAAGTAGGAAAAGTTAATGGAAATCTACCTAGAAATCCGTTTTGAGGTTTGGAGTGGCGTAGTTTCTGTAATATAATTCGGTTCCCTTGGGAGATAAGAGTAGATTAATGTTTGGAGATTTGGAGATCCTCTAGTCCAGGGGTCCTCAAACTTTTTAAACAGGGGGCCAGTTCACTGTCCCTCAGACCGTTGGAGGGCCGGACTATAGTTTAAAAAAAAACTTTGAACAAATTCCTATGCACACTGCACATATCTTATTTTGAAGTAAAAAAACAAAACGGGAACAAATACAATATTTGTATTTGCATGTGGCCCGTGGGCCGTAGTTTGAGGACCCCTGCTCTAGTCCAGTGGTCGCCAACCGGTGGTCGGCAGACCAATGGTGGTCCACGAGGTCCGAAAGGTTGGCGACTGCTGGTTAAGGAAACCTTTGAAGCAGTGGTCGCCAACTGGTGGTCCGCCGACCACTGGTGGTCTGTGAGGTCTGAAAGGTTGGCTACTGTTGTAAGTCCACCTCCCAAGGGAACTGAGAGGTAATTGAACTGTCCAGATTCACATAGCAAGTTAGTGGTTTACGTGGGTCTCAGACCCCATTTTCCAGATTTCTACTCTGGTGTTTTTTTTCCACTACCACAGTGCTAGTCCCTACAGAACTGTTCAGAGACTAGGCCTGTCCTGGTGGGACCATCGGACACCAACTAGAAAGGGGGACGCTTGACCAGGTGCAATCAGAGGGTTCCTTTTAGCTGAGATTCCTGGATGGGTTGTGTTTAAGTCCCTGGCTGACAGAAGTGATATTACCTTCCAATAATTTGTAACTTTTCTGAGAAAACAGAATCTCAGTTCTTCTCAGCTATTTCTTTGTTTTTAAAATATATTTTCTAATTATAAAAGTAATAAAATTTTAGCCATAGAAACTAAGTAAATATATACAAGTGTAACAAAAATATGTACAAATATAATAAAAAATTGCCTGTAATTCCCTAACTTGACAATGCAGTGATAACCACTGATAATGTAAAACAGATGTTTTACATCTTTCCATGTGTGTTTTCTGATCATTTTTCAACACATAAATATTTGTATACTTATGCACAATATAATTAAAATGAAAGATTATACAATATGAAATACAAGCTAAGCAATTCTTAAAATAGTTCATATTATTTAATATTAAAATTGTTTTAAAATAACTCATTACATGGAAAAATGCTCATATATATTTGTGTGCATCTGCATAATATAATTAAATTAAAATTCTATTTTTATTTAGCTTGTTTTTTTGTTTTTGTTTTTTTATTTGCTTTTTAATGGAAGTAGGAAAAAAGCCAATGGAAATCTCCCATAATACACCTTGGGATAAAATTCTAATTTCATTGTGAATAAGTACGTGGATATATATGAGCAGTTTGCCATATCATGACTTATGTTAAAACGATTTTTAAGGCTTGCATGATGTTGCATCTTGTGGAAATGCTGAAGGAACAGGCTGGCGGGGAGGAGGGCAGGCGAAGTGGGGGAGTAGTCTTTTTGGTTCTTGGCCCTGACTCTGTGTTCCTCTTCTCCCAGGGCATCAGCAGCCTGTTCAGCTCTCTGAAAGTCGTCCGGCTGCTCCGTCTGGGGCGAGTGGCCCGGAAACTGGACCACTACATTGAATACGGAGCTGCTGTGCTGGTCCTACTGGTGTGTGTGTTCGGCCTGGCTGCTCACTGGATGGCCTGCATTTGGTACAGCATCGGGGACTATGAGATCTTTGATGAGGATACCAAGACCATCCGCAACAACAGCTGGCTCTACCAGCTGGCCATGGACATTGGCACCCCTTACCAGTTTAACGGGTCTGGCTCAGGGAAATGGGAAGGTGGTCCCAGCAAGAATTCTGTCTACATCTCCTCGTTGTATTTCACCATGACCAGCCTCACCAGCGTGGGCTTTGGGAACATCGCCCCGTCCACAGACATCGAGAAGATCTTTGCCGTGGCCATCATGATGATTGGCTGTGAGTATGACAGTGCCTGGGGCTGGGGTAGGGGGAATACTGTTTGGTCATCCCTTCTATTAGCTGGAAAATGGGTAATGGCTACAGTGCCAGTAGGATCAGGGCTGTAATAACTTAAAAGAAGGAAGATATATATTTTTTAAGAGACTAGCTTTATAGTTTTCCCGATAATTAAGAAAGTACATGTTTACTGCAAAGAAATTTAGAAAATACTAAGAAAGCACAAAATAGAAAAAGAAAGGCCATCCAGGTACTTCTCAGAGATAGCTATCATTACCATTTGGTCTCTCCCATACAGATCCTTTTCTATCCTTATCTGAACACACAGAGATAGGTTTTTATAAAGTTAAAATGACCTATATGCCACACATATAATTTGGTAAACTGCTTGTTCGTAGAAGAGTGAATTGTGGAAGTCTTTCCATGTCAATGTAACCATAGCTCTAGGTCTGCACTGTTCAATAAGAGAAAGTAGGAAAAGAGAATGTGAACTATCTCATTCATTATCTTTCATAGTGATTACACATCAAAACAACAATATTTTTGAAATAGTGGGTTAAATAAAATATTCTATACAATTTCAACATTCTTTTTGCTTTTCAAATGTGGCTCCTAGGAAAATTTTGAATCTAATTTCAATTGGACAGTGCTGATCTAGATCAATACTGTTGATGTTTGCTTGATGGTTTAGAAATGTCCCAAATCCAAACAAAACCCAAAAGCCCCAAACAAAGGAAAATGCGAAAAAAAGGCTCTTGTTCCATTGAGTGAGAGGTAAAGGCTTATGGGATTAACTTGATTGGACTGAAAAGCAAAACAAGCCTAGTTCTTGAGGACTTACATCTCAATAACTTACCACCGATCACTGCATAGCTGTTGCTTTTGCCAATTCTGCAAATAGCCTTCGGCTGGACACAATGGGCTACCTCCACTAAAGGGACTCCCAGGGGGGAGTGGACCGAACAGGCTGGGGAAGGCACTTGGACTTGAGTGGATTGGACTCATGGTGAACCTGCCAGGAGCACCAAGTGCACGTCAGTGACAGATCGTGACATGGGAGAGGACAGTCCTCCCATGAAGCATCAGTTTGGGTAGTAGTCTGGTCGCCCGTGATGAAGCTGGAGTCTGGTGCCTGTGCAGAGACCCCGTGGCTGGATGTAGTCCTCAGGGTGGAGTTGACCTATTTCTTGTTTCTACCGACCAGGGAATTCTAGGACCAGGGAAACCTGAGGCTTCAGTTTCTCTTGCTTTGTCCAGCTCACACCTGAGATTCAGCGCCCCCTTCTGCACGTGGATTGCAGCCCCCTCCTATTTTGCAACCACCTCATCACGTCTGATGCGGTCCTTTCATAAAACTCCTCGAGCCAAGGCACAGAGCTCACCTCTGAGCGTTGACTGAATGTGTCTGAGGGGTAATGGATTCATGGGAAGCGTTTGCCCATGGAGCTTTGGGGTTTGCTTCTTACTTTAAAATGGGTTTTAATAGAGATGATTGCCTGACCACGGGAGGCAGCGTTACGTGTCTGTGGGTAGCTAATTGCTGTAGCTTAATTAGAACTCGAGGTGCTTCCTCATGTTGTGTAAGAGAATTTAAGACCTTTGCTCTTCTAGAATGATCCACCTTGGAAGCCCCGTTCTCTAGGCAGCGCCTGCAGCAGTTTTGTGAGTTTGCGCCACCAGACACAGCGTGCTCGGGCACAGTTTCTGTCTGTTAGAGGGGAGAGGAGACACTGTAAATCAAAACGCCTCATTATATCCGTTACAGAGAAGCTGTGAAGAGTGGTCAGTCAGAAAATGGGCCCCATTTCACGGACTCTCCAAGGGCTTTCAAATCTGAGGAGACATCCTTGCAAACGTTTACCTGGAAGAAAAGAAGAAAGAAAATAGTTCTGGTGGCATATAATAAGGATAAGCAGCCTGTTTTCCCCAAACCGTTCTTCTATGGAGAGCATCATTTCCTGGGTATGGTCTCCAAGGAAAACCTCCAACAGTGATTATCACCTCTTTTCTCTCCCACCTTCTCTGAGCTGGATCATGTTTCCATTTCGTGAAATAAAGTGTAATACACAGTCTGCAGCCGAGTCTGATGTTCAGGTCGGCAAGTCTACTTAACGGGAACACCATTTCCCGAACAGTCATTGGTTAGTCACTATGCTAAGTGCTCTACACACACTCTCTCCTACTCGCGGAAATTCTGTGCCTGAGAGATGATCATCTCCATCTGATAAGGAATGGAAGCTCAGAGAAGTTAACTTATTTTCCCAGGAACGTGGGGCTGGTGAGCAGGAGAGACAGGGTTTGGACCCCGGCCTCCCTGAATTAGTAGCAGGGCTCCTTCCATGGACGCACCTGCACAGGTGAGGTCTGAGAACAGAGTCCACCAGCTTCTCCAGCTGACAGACCAGCACTTGGAAAACTCTCTCTGTGAACTTGAGCAAGCTAGCAGTTCTGCACTGGCAACCTTTTGTGGGCTTGTTCATTGCTGTTGTTGTTTTCATTTAAGAACAAGATTTTGGTACTGACTCAGGGGGACCAGGTGTTGTGGAAACCAGCCGTTTTTCAGCAGCCTGTCACGGTTACAGCTGTTCCCCTTTCCGTGTGACATGTCTGACAAATTATCGTACCAACAGCCAGGTTATTGCACTCTGTGTAATGCGGTGGCGATCACCCTTGTACACTCACATTCCAGACAGCCTTTGTTGGGGACCAGTGCTGGTGTCTTGTTAGATTGGTGGGGTCCTCTCTTATCTTGCTTTGCCTGTGTGTGGACGTGTGCACACCTACCTCCTGGCTGCGTGGCTCACGGGATTGGACTGACCCCAGAATTGGCACCCCTGGCGACAGGGAGCATTGACCACACCAGCATTTATGCCAATGTGTCCGTGCTTCTCTGTCCCCAGTAACTCTGGCGGTCAGGCCCCCATGTCTTAAGGGGTATAGAGAGACACAGGCCTTTTGAAATACTGGTTAGGTTGTAATCCACCCCCCGCCCCCCCGCACTGAATTTTACATGTGTTGGGAGTATTATTCCTTGCCTGTTCTGTTGCAGTGTATTAGCCATAATGTAGATTATCCAGAAGCCTTGTGTTGCTTCTCCTCTCTGCTCTCTGGCACTGAATATCTCATTATAACTTGGCTAATTCCCCAGAGGATGCCAGGAAGCAGAAAAACTAAGTATTTTCAATCTTGCCTACCTCTCTCAGTTCTGATAAAAGAAAATTGCAATAGGAACAAGTGGAAACTGATGGCTAAAATGAGTATTTGTGATTCACTGTGGTGTAGGCAATCTATCGTGTCTCCAGCTGCCTGGTTCTCTCTCTGACTTCCATTCTAGGGTCTTGTCCTGGGCTAGAGGCAAACCAGCCCCTGCCTGATCTCCCTGCCCTCCTGTGGGTCTCCAGGGGTCTCCTACCAGGCCTCACCCCAAGTGGACTCTTCATGTCTTTTAGCACACTTCTATGTCAGTGACGCCGAGTGAAGCACATGCCACTCTGGCCCTCTGTGTGACACGGGGGAGAGGATGTCCCCCTTTCGACAGGCACATGCATCAACAGGTATGTGCCTCCCGAATTAGGGTTGGTCTGGCTGCTCTGCCATCATCAGAGATGCAGGCTTCTCTTTTCCCTTCAGCCCACCACTTCCACATCAGGAGCCAGGATGGCTGGTCCAGCTTCCACCATATGTTCTCTTTCCAGAAAGAAGGGAAGGGGAAGGCGAGCTGAACTCTGAAAACAAGGCTAGGAAATTGCCATATTACCTCTGTCGGTGCCTCCCCGACAGACCCCTCGTGTGTGCTAAGGATCTGGAGACCACCGCTGTGGGTGGCACTCTCAGGGAGTCTGTGGTCTGATGGTGGTGGGGCTGTGGGAAGGACAGAGACAGGTTCTGTCACTTACCCACCAGTGAGGCCTGGAGATGGAGCCCTCATGGTGGGCTGAGCTTTCCCCGGTCTCTGAGGGATCCCTTCAAGAAGAAGGGACTGTCAGCAGGGAGAGTTCCTGCATCTGGGAGGTCTCATCTCAGGCGAGGGACACGACCCTGCCTTGGGGATCTCTCCAGGGAGAATTTCATGGTGGAGACATTTCCATTTCTTTTTTTATAAATACGCTTTGCACTTTTCTGATTCTCTCCTCATAATGTCATTGCTGTCAACCTGTCATTGAAATTAACCCACATTCGTTTCCTTTCTCTCTGACAATGGCAGGGGGTCTAGACATTGTATTCCTTTCAGGTTCCTCCCTAAACGCTAAGCATTTGTCTCCTCCCTCAGCTCCCCTTGACACTTGCCTCTTTGAATTCATTTTTCCTTCCCACCTCAGCTCCTTCAAAGCAGAGCAGAATGTCAGTGCTGAAGGGACCTTTGGGAGCATCTGTTTAGTCCAGAGGAGCCCTCCTCTCGCTCTTCTGCTGGGCCAGATCTCATCCTTATCCGTGCTCCAGTCAATCTCCCCCACCCCACCCCACCCCACCCCACCCCAGGCCTGGGAGCTCCCAGTGAGTCAGTGGGCTCACTCCTGGTGGTTTCCTTATATCATCTTCTTTCCTGGGGGGCGGGGGGGAGGGACGCTAGTAACCTGCACCCCGGGGCCTTTGACCCCCCTCCCTCACCCACTTGCACTATGCTTTGTGGTTTCCCTTCAGCTTTGATTAATTGCAGGCCAATCTGAACTTTTCTCTGCCTCCCTCCTGATCTTATTTAAATGTTTCTTATTTCTATTCATCTCGCCTTTGCTAAATATGCCTTTTTTGCATTCTATACCAATATACTGTTTTTTCAAAAATGACCTGGGGCACATCTCCCAGGAGGCTGTAAAGATACTCTTAGGAGACTTTAGCCACATGGTAGCTGCTTACTTAATATTTCTGGGCTTGTTGAAGCTGAAAATTGGAGATGGATCTGGAGTTTTGGAATTGGCCTGCAGTGTTATTGGCCAAGCCTTTTTATTAGTTAGGATACGTGTTTTCTGCTGCTGGACAGGCACATGCATCAACAGGTATGT